CCAACCCTGTGAAGAGACTACGGAATGAGGGAAAGAGGGAGACAGGGAGGGAGAGGGAGGGAGGAAGAGAGAGAGAACGGGACAGAGAGAGAGAGACCCATCCATCCACTCAGCCCCAAGAGATTCAGGCCCCATCCACTGTGCTCATCCCAGGTGAGGTCCCAGATAGCACAGAATGGAGATGAACCAACCCCACTGTGCCCAGCCTGAATTCCTGAACCACAGAGTTGTGCTTTATACTAATAAATGGTTGTTTCAGGTCACTAAGTTAGTGAGTAGTTTACTACATAGCAGTAGATCACTGAAACACCACACTTTTTTTTTTTTTTTTTAAGATTTTACTTATTTATTTGAGAGAGAGAGAGCACGAGCAGGAGGAGGGGCAGGAGAACAAGTAGACTCCCCACTGAGCGCAGAGCCTGACTCAGGCCTGATCCCAGAACCCTGAGATCATGACCGGAGCCAAAGTCATTGGCTCAACCCACTGAGCCGCCCAAGTGCCCCGAAACACCACACCTTTTAACTAGTTCTCCACTACCCAATTTGAGTGCCATGTATTCCCTCTGGGGCTCTGACTGACAAATGCATATGACAGCCATGAGGGCTAATAATCACATCGCAGACATCTATTCTTCTGGAAAAATGGGGGAACTGCATATCCCTCTGAGGAGATGTGGCCTGGTGACTTGCTTTGCTTTAAACAATGAAATGTGAATGGAAATAACATGGATCACTTCCAGGTAAGTGCTTCAAGAGCCAGTGGGCCATTCACTATGTTCTCTTCCTCTGACATGACCACAGATATCATTTCCAGATGGTGAAGGTTCTATCACCTTGGGTCCCTGAGTGACGAGAACATGGAGAAAAGCTACCTGCAAACTGCCCACCCCACACTCCAAGATGGACAAGCAGTGTGAATAACAGACATGTGTTGTTTTAGCCCCTGAGACATTGGTGGTGTTCATGACTGCGGCATGCTCATCATGACTGACATAATAAACTCCTTCATCAAGCTAATGCTGACCAAAACGACCCCTTGCATGTGGGGACCATTTGAACTCCTGAATATTCTGCACACAAGGAAGCAAATATATAGGTCCATCGTTTTTACAACTACAATCAGGAAAGCCATGGAAATCGGTCAACTGTTCGGAACCATGGAAACCCACCTCTTAGACCTCCAGCTCCAGGGAGTGAAAGTGACGAAGGGCCCCTGCTACTACACTCTGAAATCCTCACCACACGTCCCACAGACCCTCTCCCTGGGAGACATAGGCCCCCTCTGATGGATTTTCTCAGATTGCACAGCACTCTGGGACACTCCCAACCAACCTCTCCCTCTCCTTCACTTGGGGTCACTTTTACATTGCAGTCCAGCAACTCCCAGCCTTCCCCACCCTGCTCCCCTTTTTCTCTCTCACAAGCATTTCCCCTAATAAAATCCTTGCACATTTAATCCTATGTTGGCATCTGCTTCTCTGAGAACCCAGACTAATACAACCATACCGATGAATATTCAGCCTTGAAAATTTAGCTTTAATAAATTAAATATACAGAGACAACAGAACTAGCTCTTGCTGGTTGAGGGCTGCCGAAAGTCATAAATAACCAGTTCTGTACAACGTGATGTCCATATCTATGTCTAGCTCTGATTCCTAAATGAACCATATTAACATGGCATCATTTTTTCTAGTATGACTTTTACAAAGTATGATTTTAAACCTATCTCCAAAAATGGATGCTTTCCTAAATGTCCAAAACAGGCTTCCAATCCCTTATTCTAAACCCTGGAGACCATGCGTACCTTGGAATTCAAACTTTTCAGTTTAGAAAGGTAATGTGTACATCTGCCATATTTGACTAACCCAGCAGGTCCAAGACAGCACCCTATAACCAAATACATTACCATTTCTTCCACAAAACATACAAATATGAACACAAGTAGAATAAAACCAAACAGCCTCAAGACAGTTCAGGTAAGGGTTTGTCACCACAAGAGTTCAGCAAAGGTGAGGTTGTGCTGCCATATGAATTATTTTTTTAAAAATTGGGGGTTTTCTAGGCTTTTTTAATTTGAGTTGTGGATAAGGGACTATGGACCAGTACATCCACACTAGAGAAAACCGTGCAGCCCTTTGAAAAAAATCAAATACACCTTTGTGCTAACACAGAATGACTGGTCACACCACACCGTTGGATGGAGAAAGCGCGTAGCAGAAAGACTCAGAGGGAGCACTACATCGTGCACACACAGACTGGGGAGAGGCAAGGTAGAGACAACGCTCACTTGTCAAGTGCCCACACCCCACCTCTCATTGCCCACAACCCTTTGTAATGACTTCATCTCTGGTTAGGAAACGCTGTGGAAATACAGTTTAGGAGAATTGATTGTGATGTAGGAATATGTTTAAGTATGCATTTATTTCTATTATTTATGAGACAGAGAATGAGTTCACCTCTGCAAAATGGCTACATGGATGGGATGGCCAGTAACTAAAATGCCACACATAAATTGGGAGCTGAGAGAGTACACAATGGAAATTTATTTAGGATACTAAATGAGGCGCCTCCACTAGGGCAAGGGACACAAAATATGAAAAATCTAGACCAGAGCCTCTACAGTAGTAGGCCTGAGACTTCCAGGTGGCCCTTCCCATATCAAAGGAGAGGACACAGGCTATGGGAGGCGAGTGCTCCCGCTAGGAACTCCTCCAGAAACACCCAGTTCTGGACTTCTTTCCTCATCTGCCTCGGGGCCCCTGTCCTGCCACTCACGGGAGGCTCCTGACTTCATCAACCACTGAGACAGCCAAGAGCCAGAGGAGAGACTGTTCCCTCCCCCCTGCCCTGCCTCCTTCCTAAAAATTTTCATTCTAAATGATTAAAACACACACACACACACACACACACACAAATTGGGGAACAAGGAGGAAAATAAATTAGGGAGGAAATATTCTCCCTAGTCTCTAAATAGCCCTGGGAGATATTGCCTGCAGTGGATAAAAGTTAGGGAATTTTAATTAGGGGTTGGAAATTCAAATGTAATATAGTAATGTTCCCTTTGCCTTTTATGTATTCAGCATTGACTGTATTTTTTTTTTTCACAATAAGGATGTATTCCTAACTTCATGATTTAAAAAACCTCATATTTTAATTACAGGCATAATAGAGAACAATATATGTAAAGTGCTATTAAAATTCTCTATGAACCACTGCCCAGGAATGCATCACATATCAGCACTTGGCGTGGCACTTTAACAAACCTTATTCCACCTATGTGCTGTTTATTCAGTGTCCCGAGTCCAAGGCTCTGTCCTTGGCACTGGAGATACCCCAGTGAACAAGGCAGGTGTGAACCTTACCCACAAGAAGCAGGCAAACCACTGTGGAGACAGCCATTAAACAAGTTATTGCACATTTAATGATTTGATTCCACTAGTGATTAAGTGCTGTGAAGGAGTAGTGCAGGGTGACCAGTCGGGTCCTCCTAACAGTCTCTGACGTGGATCTCATCCTCAATTATGGATAAAGAGTTATCATCACTATTTTTAACATTAAGGTATGGTAATTACAGTAATGTAAAATATCCTGAACAAATAATAATTATAATTATCACTATTACAATAATGACTTATGAAATTATTTTATATCCACTGGTCAATGAGGAAAAGCATGGCACTAAATGAGGAAGAAAGTCTAAATGTGTGAGGGAGTATATGGATAATGACTGCCAAAGAATTTCAGTAGCAATGTTGTATTCCTTCACAGAGGAGAATTCCTCCATGCAGAGGCTTAGAGACCTTCCATAGAAGACATCCACCCCACCTCCAGAATAGCAAGATACTAACAGAAGGACAACCTGAAAACAAACATGAGGTTTGCATTTTCCCAAGTTATGTCCTGTATTTTCCAAGACAGATTTAATTTCGAACACTTGGTCCCTCTGTGCCCATAAACCACTAAAATCATCTAGAAACATCAATATTTTGATGTTTAAGCCACATCCAAGATTACCTCTTGAAACTAGAAGTAACACAAAGCACACTGTCAGATCAAGAACAATGCTTGTTTTGGAAAATACTGCCACTACACGCAAAAGGCATGGTAAAAGATGAACATCTTCTATGAAGACCCATTGCTCTAAACTTGAAGCCCCATTACCAAGGCTTCAAAGTTGCCATAATAAGGCATTCTTCAATTCTTCAAAATCTTCTTCAAGAGCCTGCGGAAATGGTACTTCCAGATATAGAAACATGAGCAACCCATCGAAACAACATGTGATAAGTTATTTCTTGCTTATCTCCCTATGAGGGCTGGCAACTCTAATAACTCAACAAAGAGTCTCTGAACTCAATACTCAGTCTCTTTACACAGTGAAGAAAAACTCCTAATAATTAGAATTCTAGGTCCATGGGTGTCTCCTGACAGCTCACAATGGAAAGGCTATCAGTTGATTTATTATACAAAATGAGAGCACCATAAGGAATCCAGAGTGGTGCTAATGAGACAGCCAACCTTTACTGGGACCTTAACTTGCTTCACTTTAATTTTTACTGTCACAAAATTGTTACAAAAAATCATATTCTACTAAGGAGATGGCAAACCCATGACACCTGTGTTACCCCGGCCCCTTTCCCCACCACAGTAAGCCCTGCACTCTCTAGGACAGATTTGGCCTCCGAGAACAGCCTAACAGAGGATTCCAAGGAGCTACTCTCCATAAACGGACGTAAACACAAGAGTCAGAGTCATTTGCCAATCTTCAGGTAGACTATCTTACTCGACACTCACAATGCTGTTTTCTATGACACCAACTGGATCCCAACAGACTTCAGCTGTCACCATTGTTAAGACCTATCTTTCATATTCCTGAGGAATAGGAATGGAAGAAGAAGAAGAATTAAGCTAAAGTCACCATCGAGTCAGTTACACTGTTCACCTTCCTCGGTTTCCGTCAGTTGTACCGTCAACAGATAAGATCACCTTAGCCAGTCACTGACCTTGTGGAGCGCAGGAGCCAAGACTGGTACCAAGAATCCATTGTAAATATAATTGACAAGCTGACTGCGAATCAAGGGGTGAGCCACCTAAGAGAGAAAAAGGCAGTCATGAAAAAGACAAAGAGTTTCATCTTTGGGTCTTCTTAAAATCACACATTTCTGTGAACATCCTAAATTCAAAGAGGAAATTCAAATTCCGGCCATTTATTCCATGGTTAAGGAATAATTCAGACTTCAAGCCACCATGTAATTTTTTCAGATGGTTTATTCCAGTATAAACAGCTTGGACTTTCAAATTTTAAAATCGGTAATTTTAAGTTTCAACTTAAAAAAAAAAAGCAGATACTAAATAGACTGAATACGTATAGGGACTCATAAAATAAAATTAACAAATTGTAAAGTATCATTTTGCCCCATAACTTCATCTGTGTCCTAATCAATTTGTGCCTAATTAAAAACAAAATATAACTGTCACAGTGGACAATTCATTTATTTTGCTAGCAAAAAGAATTTGTGTTCAAGATGCATTTTCTACCAATCATTTATATTGAGGAGGAAGGCATTTAGAAAATCTTTTCATAAAAAAAGAAGATTCTGTTCAAAAGGAGAAAACATTACCAAAAGTATCACACTTCCTATATTTCATTTTTAAACTATATTTAGCATGCATAAGTCTTTACTAATATCTTTTGTGAGTAATTTTTTCAGTAGTACCCCCAAACAAACAAAAATCTTAAAAGTATATGGCCCCGATTTCAAAATATAGTATAAAATATACCATTTCTCTGCCTTTAACCATGCCCGTTAGCTTTACTTCTCTTTCTTAAAAAAAAATAATAATAAATTCAAATAATAAAGTGAAAAGCAATTTCTAGGGAAGTAAAGCTAGATCTTTAAATTACTGATAATCTCTCTCTGTGTGTACATTAGGGAAGGAACTAACAGTTTCATCTTTTTTATTTCCACATACTTCTGCAAGAAATGTTGATAGACTGTAATATTAAAGGGAAAAAAAAAACCTTAAGATATAATCCATTTATCTTATATATAAATAAAACTTCCTTTGACTTAGCAATAAAAATGAGATAGGAACTAAAGTAATTTACTTGCATTTTCTTCCAGAAGCTATTTCTTTATTTGGTAGATAAACAGATTATAACTAACATTTTTCACCTTATAATCAACATAAAGAAAATTTGATTTCTTAATAAATCCCATATGAAGGTAATATGTATGTTGTATAGAAATAAAACATTTTTTATGAAAAACCACTACATCCTTAAATATATATAAAATCTGATTTTTATTGAAAACAGTAACAAGAAATCTGAAGGCAAAAATCTAATCAAGAAGCCAAATATACTAGAGTTCAGTGGTTGCTTTTTTTTCCCCGAAGCAGACCAATTTCAAAGCACAGATTTAATTTGTGCTGCTAAGAAGATGCTTAACTTCATCTAAATTCAATTGGGATAACAATATTCTTTATGTAGTATGCACCATTAAGCAAAATAAAGTGTTTTCCTTTGTATACTCCCAAGAAGACCTTGAAGTAAGAGTGGTATAATTTGGTGTACTTAGAAGCCTAAAAATATCTATTTAATGAGTCAAGCACTGAACTTATTTTTGATGGTTAAGTGGATAATCAAAACAGAATTAACACTTTTCATAAGGGGGAGAAAGAAAATCCACTCATTTTTTTCCTCAATTAAAACTTCCCCCAAACCTGTAAACTAACATTTTTGTCATCCAAGGACATTCAATAGGCTTAAAAGAAAGCACCAATATTCCACAGACATTAACATTTGTCAAAGGAATGCTGATAAACTCTTGTCTTTTACAATTGTCTTTTACAATGCTCGGATTCTGAAGGGACCAGAACAAAGGGCTCCTTGGCGGCACTCCGGTACCTGGATGACGGCGTTGCAAAACTCCAGGGAGTTCATGAACTGGACGAGAGAAGGGAGCAGAAGCCAGTCGTCTTTGAGAAGGCAGTGCCATTCCTCACCCTTCTCTTCTAGCTTTGTGGGCAGGGAAGAGTAGAGACCACTGAGCCCGGTCGCAAGCACCTGCGTTCAGAAATACAATATAAGCCCTTTTCCAAAGTTCTTAGGCTGCAACCAGGGGATGCCGATGCCGCTGGTCCAAAGACCACACTCTAAGCAGCAAGGCATTCGAATATTAAAAATATCAGCTAGCTGGGAAGGATTCAGCAGGTGGGGACAGCAGGGCAGAACAGCTCCAGCGGAGGACACAGCAGCACCGGAGGGGTCTGGCTCATACGCACATAGTTGATACGGCTTATGTGTCTCTTCTGTGCCAGGCATATGCTGGGCTAGGGCTGCGGGGAGTGAGGGACACACATGCAGAGATGAAGACAACATGATTCTGCCCCCAAGGCATTCGGGAGAGAGGCAGACCCATAAGCAATGCATGACGGTACACCACTGCAAATCCAGGGACGGCCGGGGAGGAAGCCCCGGACCAAGGCAGCCCGCGACGGAAGAGCCCACAGGTAAGAACCATGAGCAGCTTTATGAGAAAGATGCCTACAGACTTGTTAAAGGTCATGACCAATACGTGCATGTTTACAGTCTAGAAATCTGGCACCTTAATCTGATCTCCACAAATTATAGCCGCAAGAAGTGGGGGTCAGGGGTCAGATGTGACGATTACTGTTCAGAGAAAAGGTGGGTCTAAGCTGAAGCACCAGCGATAAGACAAGAGCAGAGGAAATAAAGTTGAGCATCACATGTGAGGTGGCTGTGAGGGCACTCTAGCGAGGCCTCCGACAGTCCAGTATGAATCCAAAGCTCGTGGGGTTTCCTTCCTCCATCAGTGCTAACATGAAACTTCCAGCGTTTGGGCTGAGTAAGTGAGGGTGAATGAGACCTCGAATCTGTCAGGTCATCCAGCTTGGTCCTTAAAAAAAGGGTGATGTCTTTAATAGAGATAGAAGAAGTGTAGGAGAGAAACACACTTTTCACTGAGTATCTGTTGATTTTACCTTGCAGAGTGTAAGACCAAGGAAAACAATGAACTTCACGGTACGAAAGCCTCCCAACTGGGAAGTGGCGCTAGCCAACAGCACCTTCAAGACCCCGACTGGCAGCCACGCTGATCAGGCAGGAGATGCTCAGAATGGATGCAAGGTAGTTATCTATAAAGGGCATTGCTCCACGGTAAACCATGAGGTTATGAGAAACTCAAATCAGACTGAAACCCTCAAGGAAACATTCAATCCTGCGTTAGGCCCAGAAGAGAAAGGGTGACATATTCATTGATCTCACAGTCTAATAAGAGATGAAAAGACCAATTACAATAGTGCGATAAATACTCAGAATACGTAATAGAAAAAATACGGTACTGTGGATATACAAAAGGCCCTTACCCCAGACCTGGGGGGTTGGGAGCAGGAAATGTTCTCAGAAGTGATGTCCAAGCTGCTGAAGAATAAATAGGAGTGAGCCCAAAAAAGAATCTTGGAAGGAGGGCTGTTCCATGTGGAGGATGTACAAAAACTCCAAGAAAAGATGGCATCTTCCAGGAACTAAGAGAAGTGCCAGAGTATTGGAATGTAGGTGCAGAGGTGGAAAGCGCCAGACAGGGTAAGCAGGAGTCAGACCCTGCAGGGTTTTGTAGGCCAGGGAAAAGAGCTTGAGGGACGCCGCAGTGGGCAGCGCACTAGACAGAGGTGTGTATCTGATGATTAGTAGGAGAGGGATCTGGACTAAACGTGAAGATCAGAGCCATTAATATGTAGATGGTACCTAAAGCCACAGAGACCAGAGAGAGGAGGGAAGGGAGGCTTGGACAGATGAGATAAAATAATCCAGTGTTTAGCATCAGAAAGAGAAAGTCAGAAAGAGGGGCGCCTGGGTGACTCAGTCGTTAAGCGTCTGCCTTCAGCTCAGGTCATGATCCCGGGGTCCTGAGATCGAGCCCCGCATCGGGCTCCCTGCTCAGCGGGAAGCCTGCTTCTCCCTCTCCCACTCCCCCTGCTTGTGTTCCCTCTCTTGCTCTGTCTCTGTCAAATAAATAAATAAAATCTTTAAAAAATAAATTAAAAAAAAAAGAAAAAGTCAGAAAGAAATGTGGCAACAGGCAGTTGAACTTGGAAAAATTCTCTGCAAACTCATCGTTCCCTCTCCTATTCACTGGTCCTGTGTCCACAGCACCCTCTGTGTCCCTCTGTGGAGCAGTGGTCCTTCTTGCATTTATTAGTTTGTTGGCTGTCTTCTCCAGCTCACCTGGTCTGACTTGGTCATTCTAGTCCACACTGGAGGTGTGGATGACCAGTCCTGTCAGGTATGCTGAGTATCAGATGCTAGCAGTACTTGCCATGAGTAACACATCCAGCACAACAACAGAGTACAGGCCTGGAGACTGAGAATCTGGAAGTGTTCATGTAGAGAAACCGGCTGATGCCATGGGAGGAGCGGTGGATGGGGGTGGGCCCAATATGGAATAGAAGCCCCCAGTGGACTATGAGGGGCCGTGAGAAAAACAGATAAGCCATTTCAATACGGGAGAAATCCAAAGATTATTTGGATTTCAAACACACATTTCTGTGTTTGCTAGTGACCTTTATGCATGCATTCATTCACTCACTCGAAACAAACCGAACACCTTCAGGCCAGATACTATGTTACAGTCCGGGAAATGAACAGTAAACAAGATGGTGCCCACTTAACTCTTTTTCAAAATCGGGGTATCTGTGGTCCCAAAGAAGAATGTCCCCTGTTTAAAGTATTTAACTCCTTGTCAACATACCCAAACAAATCATTTTAATTCTAGTTTTGAATGTGACCCCAGTGAGTTGCTGGTTATAAATTTGGAGCCTCTGGCAAGAGAGAACACAGACCAAGAGTTCTCCTTGCAGGGAAATCTAATCTTGATGTCACATTTTAAAAATCAATTACATTTGCTAACTCACGCTAAATTAACCGCAGCACAAAGGCTTTAATTCTGCATACTCCCGATTCCTTAACCACTTTGAGGCTTTGAAGATGAATTCATAAAGACAGGCTTAATTTGTCTGACTAAAAAGCTGGGAATCACTATTTGGTATATCAATATAATTAAAGCAACATTAATTTTCAAATTACATACATCACTGACAGTAATTAAAAATAACACATACCTAATATTCTCTTTTTTAAAAGAGTATTCGGAAAAGGGCACAGCTGAGATGCAAGGGGAAGCCTGTCTATGCAGAAGGACAGTGCCGTGTGCAGCCGGACATGGAGTCCCGCCGCGTTCTTGCCTCCATAAAGTGGAGCTAGAGGATGCCTGTGCTATCTACTTCGGAACGGCAGACAAACGGGGAAGAAAAGAGTCTGCGGAACAAAGAGTGGGACATAGTTTAAAGAACAAGATTCCAAATCTTTTTTTTTTTTAAGGGGAAGAGCTTCATTTTTTTTTTTTTTTTAAAGATTTTATTTATTTGACAGAGAGAGAGAGAGAGCGCGCGCGAGAGGGAACACCAGCAGGAGCACAAGCAGAGGCAGAAGCCGGCTGCCTGCTGAGCAAAGAGCCCAATGTGGGACTCGATTCCAGGACCCTGGGATCACGACTCAGGCTGAAGGCAGCTGCTTAACCGACTGAGCCACCCAGGTGTCCCAAGATTCCAAATCTTGACTGCTATTTATATCTTCCTTTCCAAGACTTTGCTCAGAGTTCAGATTCATTCACCCAATCCACAAACATTTCTAGAACACATGAGAACCCTGGGGGCCAGGTACTATGTACAGCTGGTGCTGGGGACAGAGCAGAGAACAAGTCATAGCAGATGAGCTGGGGAAAACAGCCGCTAAACAAATAAAGTCGACCGGAAAGACCACTGCTCCACAGAAGGACACGGAGGGTGCTGTGAGCACAGGACAAGGGGAAAGGAGGGGCAACAACAGGTTTGTGGACCATTTTCCCAGCAGTTTAATGGCACAGTCTATTTATTTTTCAATTTTATTTTTAACTGAAAAATTTCAAAATAAAAGGACACTGAACATTTAGTTAAAAATAAAATGTCTATGGGGCGCCTGGGTGGCTCAGTCGGTTAAGCGTCTGCCTTCGGCTCAGGTCATGATCCCAGGGTCCTGGGATCGAGCCCCACATCGGGCTCCCTGCTCAGCGGGAAGCCTGCTTCTCCCTCTCCCACTCCCACTGCTTGTGTTCCCTCTCTCACTCTGTCTCTGTCAAATAAATAAATAAAAAGTCTTTAAATATATATATATATAGGGGCGCCTAGGTGGCTCAGTCGTTAAGTGTCTGCCTTCGGCTCAGGTCATGATCCCAGGGTCCTGGGATCCAGCCCCACGTCGGGCTCCCTGCTCAGCGGGAAGCCTGCTTCTCCTTCTCCCACTCCCCCTGTTTGTGTTCCTGCTCTTGCTGTGTCTCTCTCTGTCAAATAAATAAATCAGATCTTTAAAAAAAAAAAAAAAGAACAGAACGCACGTGCTGAGACGGGCATCGTGGCTTAGGCACGGCAGTGTTTCCACGGGACAGAGGAAAGAGGACATGCACAGAGGGCTGAACAATTCAGGGAAGGTCCATCTTTAACTTGAAACATCTAATGGTACCTGGTTAATTTTAGCAAAAGAAAAAGATTTTCAGCAGATGGCTTTAGTCTGAAGCTAGCAGCAGAACAGCTGGTGGGGATTATTTGATGCAACTTGCCAAAATAAAAAATCTCATAAATTTGGGGTGTGGGATATATAACTTTCTATCAGCAGCTGTGTACCTACAGGTTGCTTACTTCAATTTGCATTTCTTGGTTTACATATAAGCTGCTTTCTACTTTTGCCAATATGTAACAAGTGACGAGGGCATAATCATCAATGTTTGGCCAAAAAAATTCAAAGTGATAGGGCCATATATAGTTGCCAATCATTTGTTGGCACTAAATTGTTCCCCAGAGTATTCTCAATCTCCTTCTTTTCTTGGGAGAGCATGTCTTGACAGTAGAGGCAGCTGAACAAGCCCTTCCTATCAACTACAACCACAGAAGTTTTCAAAAGTGGTCCAGCTTCCTGAAAGAGTCATTACTCTTCCCAAAGCCTGATGCTAACAC